GGGGACATGCCAGAGGCAGCCAACCAATGATTCTCGCTCATCATTGATGTTTCTCTCTCTTTCTCCCTCTCCCTTCCTCTCTAAAATAAAATTTAAAAACACTTTTTTTTAAAGAATTTCAAGCATATTATCAGTCTCTTAGCTGTGAGTGGCAGTTAAACACTACGGGCAGACCCAACTTAGCCAGAGAATTCTTGTCTTACTCAGTCCTTATCTTGCTATGTGACTCTACAGGAATTGCTTAACTTGAGTTAACTCTTTGGGTTCCTTTACCTGAAATGGGAAGTGAAGACTTTTACTCAAATCCTGACAGACATAAAACACACTCTTCTCCCCACTTCAATGAAACAAGGCTTCCCTTATTCTGCTGAGCTGATGAATAGGGATCGTTTACCACTGCTCACTCTGGGTATTCTCAAAGGGCCTTATCATTGTCTTCAGTCCACTGAAGTACTCCCAAGACTCTTTCTCATAACCTAATGGTACCTCAATTACCCGTATCACTTTCTGAAATTTCCTTAGAATCAGGATAGTCACTGCCTGATTTTCGCCACAGGAATCTAGAGTAACAGTTAACCATTGTATAATGTCACAGCACAAAACATTATAAATCCTCAGGAAAAGGGCGCTTCTTAGATACAGAACGAACTTTTGGTTTCTAGACTGAGTCCTACATCAGTGTGCATTCACTTCTCTTCATTAGCAATTTAGGACTTAATTAAATCACTGTACAACTTCTTTCTCTGCATACACAAAACCCGTATTTCTATTGATCTAATTGGCTTTTTTATCTGTCAATGAATTAGGGTTATATTTGCTGGATGGATTAATCATTTCACATTCTCATATGTTAATTATTAAAATTTAGAGGATTATTAAAAAGGGAGTAAAGACAAGTTTGCAAGTAAGTGAAAATAAAAAGGGTTGGTGGTGGTTATGGTTCCAAAACATCTTTTCAGCATCTATATTATTTATTTCTAGCTTCCAGAAGAAGAACCTGAGTTGGAGAAATGTGTTTATTCAATGTAGTGAAGAGTTCATCTACATTGTAGCACCTGTCAGAATTTCCTTCCTTTTGAAGGCTGAATAGTATTCCATTACATGGATATGCCATGTTTTGTTTACCATTTATCCATTGATGAACACTTGGGTTGTTTCCACCTCTTGGCAATTCAGAATAATGCTGCTATCAACATGGGCGTGCGAATATCTCTTTGAGACTGTACTTAGTTTAGGAGCTGTTTGCATACAGCTGTTTCTCTTACAGAATTCAAAGCAGTTATTTTCAAATCAGTCTCCTTGAGTTCTGAGTGAGCACAGTGAATATGATGGAGACCCTACCCAGCCCTGGCTGATGCTGGATATCTTACCTAACCTGCCCACGGGGGGTTTCTAGGATTATCTCCACTTAATTGATGAGGAAACTGAGGCATAGAGAGAAACTCATCCCAGAGGACACATTAAGGAACCCGCTGGAGCTCCTCAGATGAGAGAGATGTGGCTTTCTTCCCTGCTGCAGAACTTCCCCAAAGCAAACCAGTGCCATGGTTTTCCTCCCTGGAGAAGTATTTCTCTATCTAGGAAGGAACATCCTGAAATTTCCCGCCCAGTGGGACTCCTTGCTGGGCATGTGGGTAGCAGAAGCAATATCCTCTGCCAAGTAAAGCAGTAAAGTGCTAATCGAACTTCTTCCATGTGTTCAAGGGCTTTCCCAAAGCTTTTTTCCATTTCAAAATGAGTCAGCAGATCCTGAACTCATTTTCCTCACTTGAACACTACGGAAATGTTGAACGTGAATGATCTACTTACTGAGATTGGAATGAGGAACAATAAGACACTGAATTCTTACTTCACTATGATTATGACTTGTCAGAAAATGAAGTTTCTTTGATCATTAGTTATTCTGCAGCAACTACTGCTAAAAGGCAATAAGAATATCATTCTAATTTTTTAATACCCAAAAACTTCAGAGGTATTTCTCAAGGAGAACATTCCACAGGCATTCTAATAGAAAGGGAAAAGGAAAAAAAATTCCCTATGTTACCTTTTACGGAAAATGTTTTATTTGTGATAAACATAAAACAGTGATGAAATATGACATTCTCATGCAACAGAGTCTCAGGATTTTCACTTATAAAATAACATTCTTAGAGTAGTTTATCGGTGGAACTTGGTACAAAAAGGAACATGGGTAGCCCATCAACAAATCAAGCTAATTTTGCATTTGATTTTCTGAGGAGAAAAAAAAATTAACCAAATCTACTTTATTATAATTAGTGACTCACATTTTTAATACAAACTCCAATTTTTTAAAAGCCTAGAAAGATCAAATAAGAGATTCAGCAAATGTTGGATTCTGAGCAATGTCCTGAGAATGTGCATTTTTATTTTCTGCCCAACTCTGAGTTTTATTTGTCCAGTTATGGGAACTGGCACCCCTGAAGAATTTTTCATTCATTCAATAACTATTTCTTAAGAACCCACTCTACCAGGCAGTGGGGATACACCCCTACACAAGAGAGTTAAGGTCCATGCCCTCAAGGAGTTCACAGTTAGCAGATGAGACAAATATGAAGTCCCCACAGGATGTCAGACTGTGCTAGTACTCTTGTGAAACAAGTTAAGGCATTAAACAACTGGTCCCAGCATTCCTAACTAAATGCAAGATTGGGACAAATATTTAGTTAACTGCAAGATAACTAACCAAGACACAGTTCTATTTCATTTTTTTCTATTTGTGCTTTA